TAATACATCTTGACCCAGCCCTCAGGCGGAGTCCCTGTTCACTAAAGCACGGTTAACCCTCCATCTAGGCATAATGGACTTGGAGGTTTTGAGTAACAATTCACGGGGAAGGTTTGCATTTTCTCCCTGAGCATTACCTTGGCATCCAGAATTGATTCTTTCTGTCCTCCTGCCTGGCACAGCAGGTCAAAGGGTCAAGTAACCTACTCCTGCTCTTAATTTGGGTGTTTGGTTTATTCCCCTCATCTGATGGTTGTCACTGGGTAGTGGTCCTCATGGAAACCTGCCATCCCCATGATAACTTGACACTTTTCATGTGAGAGAGATTAGGCAGTGAGGGTTGGTGGGCTATTTAACTGCAGAAGGCATCGCAGACCGTTCCTGTCACTCTTTGATGAGCCCACGGTTTGACAGACTCAGTAGAAAGCAATGACAAGCATGTAACACTGCCGTGTGAAACCCTTTCCCGGCTGTTGGTTACTCAGATTGATTGCAGTGCCTCTGGCACCAGGACCTCTTCAGTCAATCGTCTTAGGAACAAACAGTAGTGTTAGTGTACGTGAGGAGGCCCAGTTCTACACCACCTTGCTCCCTGCCACACACCCCGATCATCTGCTTGCTGCTACCTGCTGGTGTCTTTCATGGTACCCTGTTCCTAGCTCACTGCTGCCCTGCACCTTTCCCCTCTGCCTGTTCTCAACATTAGTCACTAACCTGCATCCTGCAGTCACGGCTGGACACAACACTGAGAATCCAGCACTCCGTGTAAGGAAGGAATAGGTTTGAGCTGAATCACTTTGAAACAGAAGGGTTAAAAGGGTGAAAATGTCCCAAATTGGACTTTTGAGTACTTGATCGAAGTGAGTATGTGGTAGTAATCCCCTGCTAACCTGGTTGATTCTGAACTTTCTGAAATGCCTGAGAAACAGTGAGTTGTGTTGAAACCTAGAATCTCTTTCTCACTCAAGCTGGCAACTGTGGCTCATTTGGCAGCGCCCTCAACTCTCAACTCAGAAAGTCGTAGGTTTAGCACACACTCCTGGATGGCAATATCCAGGCTGTCCCAGCAGTGGGATACCGAGGGAGTACTGCACTACTAGAGGTGCTGTATTGGGAGATGTCCCCTCTACCCTCTCAGGTGGACGGAAAAGATCCACTACTCAAAGAAGACTATCCTTCAAAACCTCAACAATACAAATAGCAGTGATCACCTCGCTGTTTGAGAGAGGCTGCTGTGCACAAGTTCCAACAAGAGTGAAAATGGAGTCACAGGTAGACAGGGTAGTGAAGGCGGCTTTTGGCATGCTTGCTTTCATCAGTCAGAGCATTGAGTATATGAGTTGAGCCATCTTGTTGCAGCTGTACAAGACATTGATAAGGCCACATTTGGAGCACTGTGTGCAGTTCTGGGTGCCCTACTATCGAAAGGATACTATTCAACTCAAAAGACTGCAGAAAAGATTTAATAGGATGCTACCTGGACTGGAAGATTTGAGTTGTAGGGAGAGGCTGGATAGGCTGGGATTTCTTTCCCTGGCTCAGAGGAGACTGAGGGGTGATCTTACAGAGGTCTATAAAATCATGAGAGGCATTGATTAGGCAGATAGCCAACAGCTTTTCCCTGTGGCAGGGGAGAAGGGAGAGATTATAAAAGGGTCCAGAGGGGGAATTTTTTCACACAGAGGGTGGTGTGTGTGGAACAGGCTGCTGGAGGTGAGTACAATTTTGTCATTTAAGAAACATTTGGACAGGTACATGGATGGGATAGATATGGAGGGGTATGGACCAAATGTGGGTAAATGGGACTAGATTAACTGTGAAAACTGGGAGGCATGGACAAGTTGGTCCAAAGGTCTGTAAACCTCTGACTCCATAATCATGGCTACTTTTGACTGTACTTTTCTGAGATGACCTGGGGGTCATGAAAATGTGCTGTAGATTTATAAGTTTTCTTCATTCTTTCAAATCATTTCGAAGGAATAGAATTCCCAGTCAGCTATCAGAGGCAATTGCTTTGATGCAATTTAGCAGGCAGTTAGACATTGTGCAAAGATGACCAGATTATATTTCTGGTGAAGCAACCTTTCTTCATCCAGTTTCCTGTTTTACTTCCCTTTGCCTGCGGCAACCTCTGCTGGTGACATTTGAGAACTGCACACTCTTAAAGGCAGGGAGGCTCCAGATACCTCTCTGAAAGTAAAACAGAGAAAAGTCTCCTTCCTTTCCAGCGAAATACTGCAGATGCTGGAAATCTGAAACAGAGAATGCTGGAGAAAATCAGCAGGGCTGGTAGCATCTGTGGAGAGAGAAATAGAGATGAAATTTCAAGTCCAGTATGACTCTTCTTCAGACCTGAGTGTCTCCTCACGTACTGTATTAACTGCATAGCTTACATCGCCTTTCGAGGGGCAGTGGCATAGTCGTGGTATCTTTACCTTTGAGCCAGGAAGGTGCAGGTTCAAGTCCCACTTTTTCAAGAAATGTGTAACAACATAACTGAGCAGGTTGATGAGAAGATAGGTTAATAAAAAACAAAACAAAAACTTTCTGAAGAATTGTACAGGACTCGAAATGTTAACTCTGTTTCTCTATCCACAGATGCTGCTAGGCCTGCTGAGTTTCTCCAGCAATTTCTAGTTTTGTTTCAGATCTTCAGCATCCACAGTACTTAACTGCTGTTTCATTTCCTCTAGGGAAGTATGTCCTTCTTTAGGTAAAAGAACCAAAACTGGACACATTGTTCTGAAGAAAACTCATACTGGACTTGAAACATTAACTCTGTTTCTCTCACCACAGATGCTGCCAGACCTGCTGAGTGTCTCCAGCATTCTCTGTGTTTGTTTTAAAGGTCCTTCCTTGTATGTTCCACCTTTCTTGGGTCTCCTCAACAAAACTGTGTTCCCATTTGCGAAGGGATGAATCACAGAATCTCTACAGTGTGGAAACAGGCCCTTTGGTCCAACAAGTCCACACCAAACCTCAGAGCATCCCACCCAGACCCATTCCCCTATAACCCACCTAACCTACACATCCCTGAACACTACGGGTAATTTAGCATGGCCAATCCACCTAACCTGCACATCTTTGGACTGTGGGAGGAAACCGGAGCACCCGGAGGAAACCCACGCAGACACGGGGAGAATGTGCAAACTCCACACAGCCAGTTGCCCAAGGGTGGGATTGAACCCGGGCCCCTGGCGCTGTGAGGCAGCAGTGCTAACCACTGTACCACCGTGCTGCCCCACAGATGCAAATGGCTATAGCTGTGGCCTTTGCAGGGCGCAGTCTGTCAGGACCAGGAGTTACTGAGCCTTGAGAATTCTTTTGCAGACATTACATTACTGATTGCTTGTGTCAGTTATGGTACAATGGCTGCACCTTCACAACGCAGCCAGGAGAAGGATCACTCCAGAGACGAGAGCAGTCTAGCCTAATGCTCCCAGTGTAAATGCTGAGGGAGTGCTACATTATCTGAGCTGCCATTTATTAAATGAAATGTTAAACACAGGCCCCCAGCTGCTTTCAGAGCTGGATGTAAAAGATCCCATGGCACATTTCAAAACAGAGCAGAGCAACTCTCTCCATCATTTTGGCCAATATTTATTCCTCAACCAATATCAGTAAAATATGAGAAATACTCAAAGGTCTGGATGCAACTGTGCAGTAAGAAACAAGTTAATGTTTCAGTTCTGTGACCTTTCATCAAATTAGAATCACAATACTGTTTACAGTATGTAAATTTGCTGCCATGTTTCCTAAGTTACAACTGTGACTACACTTCAAAATTGGTTGGTTAGGATGTCCTGAGTCTATGGAAAGTGTTACAGAAATGCAACTCTTTCTTTCTTGAAAAATGACATATTTTGTTGAAACTATCCATCTTGCAAACATCAGGACAATTCACAAGAATACCAGCGTAAAAGGGAGCGACATATAATCCCTACAGTGTGGAAGTACATTGGCCCTCTGAAGAGCATCCCACCCAGGCCCAACTCCCTACCCCATCCCTGTAACCCTGAATTTCCTGCACACACCTGGACACTATGCGCAATTTAGTATGGCCAATCCACCTAATCTGCACATCTTTGGATTGTGGGAGGAAACCTCAACACCCAGAGAAAACCCACACAGATACAGGAAGAATGTGCAAACTCTACACAGACAGTCACCCGAGGCTGGAATTGAATCTTGCCCCTTGGTGCTGTGAGCCACTGTGCCGCCCTTCAACATGGTTATACAGCATGAGAAGAATAAGCTGATTGTTCAGCAAATGGACTCTAATTGTAAAAGATTTGACTTGGAGAATGCACCAGTTAGATGATGATTGGCAATTAACATTTCCAAGCTTTGTGTAAATTTAAACCAGGCAGGATGAGTCTGATTAGTGAAGGCATTGCCCTGAGGAAACTTTGCTGTTCACACAAGTGCCTATTCCTGTTAAGACTCATTACTGGTTCATCTGTACCACTGTTAATGAAACAGACCTTTAGATCCAGCAGGAAGAAGGATTGGTGGTAGCACTTTATGCCAACCATTTGCTGGTAGTGGTTGGTACGACAAAACAATGGGCAATAAATGGTGGCTTTGTGAATGATGCCCACATTCCACAAAATAATAAATTTTCAAAAGAAAAAAATCCCAAGCTTGACAATTTTGAAAAAGAGACAGAGTGAAATCCAAATGCTTCTTTTTTAAGAAAGGCAGCAATAGACACAACTCAAATCAAACACCATCTAGTAATAGAAGCGGCCAGCACAAGGCAACTCAAGCTGTCAACTGGGAATGCCAAAAGGAACTTAACGTTGTACAAAAGGTGGAACAATATTGCAATAGGCCAATTGAGTGTCTTACCTAGACCTCCAGCCACTATCACCCTGCCCTGGAGGTATGCAGCAACAAAATCTGCTCTCTTCTTCCTCATGTTTAGGTGACCTCCTGTTTTCATCCAGCCCCCTTGTTAGGAAATGGAAAAGCACAAAGAACAAAAACAGATCATAAGTAGAACATGGCAAGGGGAGAGAGAGAGAGAGGGTGAAGGGAAAATAAAACAACAGACAAATGGTAAGAGAGAATGTAAGAACAACAGAACTAGGAGCAGGAGTAGCTCATAAGGTATCTCAAATCAACTCAGCTGGACAATAAGATAACAGCTGAACTTTTACTCAATTGGACAAAGCCTGCAGAAAGCTGCAACACAAAGGGACTTGGGGAGACTTATGCATAAAACACAGAAAGCTAGCACACAGGGGCAACAGGTAATCAGGAAGGCTAATGGAATGTTGGCCCTTATTTCAAGGGGGTCGGAGTATAACAAGTAGGGAAATCTTACTTCAACTGTATAAGGTGCTGGTGAGACGACATCTGGAGCATTGTGAGCAGTTTTGGTCTCATTGTTTAAGGAAAGATATCTTTCCATTGGAGGCAATTGAGAGAAGGTTCACTACGATGAATGCTGTTATGCAGGGATTGTTTTATGAGCAAAGGCTAAACAGGTTGGGAGTTTACTCACTGGAGTTTAAAAGAATGAGAGGTGATTTCATTGAAATGTACAGGATTCTTAAGGGGCCTGACAGGGTAAATGCTGAGAGCATGTTTCCCCTCATGGGAGAGACTAGGACCAGAGGGATAGCCTCAGAATAAAGGGGCACCAATTTAAGACTGAGATGAGGAGGAATCTCTTGTCTCAGAGGGTTGAGAGTCTTTGGACCTCCTTGCCACAGAGAGCTGGGGGGGCAGAGTCCTTGTATATATTTAAGATGCCTTAAGATAGATAGATTCTTGATCAGTTGGGGAAACCAACCTTATGGGGAAAGGTCAGGAAAGTGGACTTGAGGAATGGTGGATCAGTCATGATCTTATTGCATTGAGCAGGCTCAAGGAGCTGAATGGCCTGCACTTGTTCGTATTTCTAATGGTCTTATGGTCAACCCCACTTTCTCACTTTGCCCAAGATCCTATCAAAATACTGCTGGAGCCTAAACGAGGCATTCCCATTTTGAGTACTTGCCAACAATAGAACTCCAAACACCATATGGTCTCTAGTTACTGGGTTACATTTACTCTGACGTTGAACTGGGCAACTCACAGGACTCGTACTCTCTGCTCTGTTAGCTGCCCTTACATACCCTGCTCAATGTCGAACACCTCCACAGTCCTGACAAACTTAGGTCTCTTGTAGCCTCGAGCTTGCTGCAGGCCTCCGAGACTAAAGAAATTCTTGTCCGTCATCACACAGCTCGAGAAAGCTCGCCGGCTGGGAATGCTTGGGAACCTGCTCCATGACTTTGCCTCAATGTCATAGACTTCGAAGGCGGTGACCGGATTCTTTACTTGTCTTCCACCTACCACAGGAGAAATAAACTGAAACAATAAGGTGAAAGCTGTTCTATTACACTGTCATGCTGCAGGGCTTTTACGGTCTCAGCACTCAAACATGAACAGCCCCAGCAGAAGAGGGGAGAGAAAGCTGGGGGAGGTGAAGATCAGAGCTGCTCAAAAGCAACTATAAACTAGTCATTCCCAATGTAGAACTGAGGGAATGGTGCCCTATTGTAGGTGATGTCTTTAGGATGAAATCTTAAAATGAGACCCTGTTTCTTCTTTCAGATGGATGTAAAAATACTATGGCACAATTTGAAAAAGAGCAGGTGAGTGGTCTAGCCGTGATTGACCCTATTATGTTATTTATTGGGGAAGACAGGCTGAACGCGAAATATATTCATTGGTGAAAATTTGAGACTTTTCAATTCATTCACGGGATGTGTGTGTCACTGGGATTTATTGTCCATCCCTAATTGTCCAGACAGTAGTTAAGAGTCAAGCACGTTGCTGTGGGTCTGGAGTCATATGTAGGCCAGACCAGGTAAGGATGGCAGTTTCCTTTCTAAAGGGCTGCAGTGGACCAGTTGGGTTTTTATGGCAAACAGAAGTGGTTACAATGCTTAGTTTTTTATTCTAATGTTTTATTGAATTCAAATTTCACCATCCGCCATCATAGGATTTGAACCCATGATCCTAGAACATTAGCCTAGGGTTCTGGATCACTAGTCCACTGACATGTACTGCTGCTGTTTTAATTCCTGAATCTGAAATGGGTGGGAAGTGGCTACTGAACATACAGAATCAGATGATCCCTGACCATCCACCAACAGAAAGGCAGATTTAGCGAAGAAGTCTTCACCAGAGTCTCATGGATAAGAAGGGGAGAACCTAAGGCAATGGAGACTGATACTTCCTATATGGGTCAAAAACAGAAGCTCTACAGATCTGGAAGTATCTACAAAGAAAGAAACACAGTTGACATTTCAAGTCCAGAGACCCTTCATCAGAACTGACTCTAACTGGTCACTGGTTTTGAAACATAACTCTGGTCTTTCTCTCCACACATGTTGCCACACCTGCTGAGTTTCTCTGGCAATTTTTGTTTTTGTTTCTGATCTTTAGCATCCAGTTCTTTGTCTTATCTTACCATGTGGGTTATGGAGGTATGGCTCATGGAGCTCAACAAATGGTTAATTTAAAAAAAACTCTCTCTAGGCCTCTTCATCTTCCCGACAGGCCCTATCTCATATTAGCTTGAGTAGAAAGTATCCCCCAGCTTAGGCCAGAGTTAAAATTACAGTAAGAGAGATTGAGAGAATGACCCTGCTACCTTTGGAAGACTGGCTTAGCTGTCCATTGGGAAAATGGAGTAAAAATTGGAGAGATGCAAGGAGACTGCCAAAGGATTTAAACTCAGATTAAAATGACCTTAAAAATGTTTTAATGCTGAATACAATCAGCTGAGGTAGAGACAACCCTGATCTCACTGAATAGTGGAATAGATTTAAATACCTACTTCCTGTTCTGATCCAAATCCAGCAGCCACAGTTAGATAAGAAACTACTATAGTCAAGAAAGGGGAAACAAGAACTGGTAACATTCAAGAGATCCCAGAATACACCCACTGTGCTAATAAGGAAGTGTCCCAGACTGTCACAGAAGGCCCACCATATGTTAATGAACACCAGAATCCAGGCAGTACTGAGGGACAGCCACACTACTGAAGAGTCAAAACTTTACTTCAAGGCCCAATCTGCTCTCTCAAGTGAATGGAAAAGACCCCATCGGACTATTTTGAAAAACAGCACAAGCGTTATCCTTCGTCACCAAAACAGATTCTTTGGCCAATACCCCTTACTGATTATGGGACCTTGCTGTGTGCAATTTGGCTGCTGCATTTCCTACATTACAACAGTGATGATGTTTCAAAAGTACTTCATTGGATCTGAAGCACTTTGAGACGTCCTGAGGTTAATAATCTCTAAATAACAAGTTTTTCTTTGTTAATGTCTCAGGACTTACCAAATACATGGATCTTGCTCTCTCGAAGGAAGGTGCTGGCTGCATATCTCGGGGTAGGCATGGCAGGAAGTGAGAGCCAGATGTCCTTCACTATGTCGTATTGTTGGAGGTTAGCTTGTGGATACATGTCTGATCCCATTCCACCCACTGCATAGACCCGACAGTCTGAAATTAAACAAACTAGGGAACCCAGTGCAATTTTCAATCCAAACATTCATTATCCAACATACTTAAAACAGCTTTATACAACAGCTCCACATGACTCTCTGGGGAAATGACCAATGCTGGCCTGTTACAGTCTCTATGCTTCCTCCCCACTTCCCCCATTAATGGACTGTCCTCATAACTGAACTTAGACAGTTAAGCCACAGACTTAATCCAACCTCACCTACGTTTGATGTTCATGCATGTAGAGAGAAGAAAAAATGATTTTTCATTTCTACAGTGTCTTCCATGATCTCAGGATTCTGCTTTACACCTAGTGCAGCACTTTTGAGTTGTGGTCATTGTTGCACTGTAGGAAATGCAGCAACCAATTTGCACACAACAAGTCCCCAATAATAGCAATGTGATAATGACCTGGTAACCTCTTCTTTTAGATGATGTTGTTTCATGGTAAATATTGGACAGGGCCCTGTGACTCTTCAAAATAGTTTCACCTACTCAAGAAAGTAAGTGGGACTTTGGTTTAACACTATATTGAAAGGATGGTGTCTCTAACGGGTGCAGAGGAGATTTACCAGGATGTTGCCTGGAATGGAGAGAAGGTCATATGAGGAAAGGTTGAGAGAGCTAGGGCTTTTCTCTTTAGAATGACGAAGGATGAGAGGTAACTCGATAGAGGTGTACAAAATGATCAGAGGTGTAGATAGAGTGGACAGCCAGAGACTTTTTCCTAGGGTGGAGGTAGCTATTACGAGGGGGCATAGTTATAATGTGAGCGGAGGTAGATATAGGGGAGATGTCAGAGGTAGGTTCTTTACTCAGAGAGTGGTAAGGGCGTGGAATGCATTGGTGGAGAGGGTAGTGGAGTCGGCCTCATTAGGGGCATTTAAGCAGCAATTAGATAGGCATATGGATGCTAGTATAAGGTAGGGGTGGAGGTTAGATAGACCTTAGGTTTAGGATAAAAGTTCGGCACAACATCGTGAGCCGAAGGGCCTGTACTGTGCTGTACTGTTCTATGTTCTATGTTCTAACACTGTAGCACTTCCTCAGTTAGCTGGATGGCAAGTTTGCAATGCAGAGTGTGCCAACTGTGCAGGTTCAATTTCTGTACCAGTTCAAGTCACCATGAAAGGTCCTACCTTCTCAACCTCACCCTTTGGCTGAGACATGGTGACCCTCAGATTAAACTCCCCACCAATTGTTTCTCTCCATCTAATGAGAGAGTGATCCTCTGGGATGTTACCTTTACTCCCTGAGCACTGCACTGGGCCAGTCAACCCAAAGTTTGCGCCCAGGTTTCTGGGGGTGAGGTTTGAGCCCAGAATTTTTGTTTCAGGCTTGAGAGTGCTTCCCACTGAAACACAGCTGATCGCTGGTAAGGAACGCGTAACACATGGGGGACTGAGGGGGGCTTATGGGATTAAACTTTGGTCCGTCCAGCAAAGAGATGGGTTGGATAGGATTGGCCAAATAGCTTCCTCCTAGCAGATGTTAATGACTTGTCAATCAAATTGTTAAGTTTGGTTAATGTTATGGTTGTGGTTAAAAAGAACAGGTAGATCCAATTGGAGATACACAAGGTATAGAGGTGGATGAACATAGCAGGCGAAGCAGCATCAGAGGAGCAGGAAGGCTGACGTTTCGGGCCCAGACCCTTCTTCAGATCCAATTAACCATTTTTGAGGGAAAGCTGAACGTGTTGGATGCAAGCTGTGAGACTGAGCAAGTCAATACAGAAAAACTGCCTTGTTTGCTATCTACCAGCAAGCTTGGAGTCCCTTAACAAGAGACACTATGTGCTGCAGCAGCTATGTTTTAGTATCGAGCTTCCTACTTATCTGGCTTTTATTACCATCACTAAACGTCAGTAACCCGCGGAGACAACAAGCAATAACTCGTGCATGGTGGGAAGTTGTTGGAGGATAATATTGACCCTACATTTTATGCTTATTTGTGTTACAATGGGAACTCATTCTAGCATTCTTCAATAGCAATGTACAATTGCACAACACATATGGAGCCCCTTGAGCCCATATAGCAAATATTGGCTGCTCCATTTCCGACATTACAACAGGGACTACACCTCAACTGGCTGTAAATTGCTTTGTGACACCCTGTGCTGGTGAAAGGCATTATACAAAAGCAAGACTTCCTTTCTTCTTATTCCCTGCAAAACAAGGCTGCATTTATTGTCAATGCCACCAGTAGGTGGCACACCAAGTGGTGCACTGAGAAGGAGACCAAAGGGGCAAGCATTGGAGTGAGGGGTGCAGCCAACAAGTTGAAGTGGGGTTTGGGCAATGATAGTTTGGGGGGGGGGGGGGAGAGGGGAGGGGTAAAGACCCATGGGGGTGGATGGCAGTGGGGTGTGGTATGTCCAGATGCTGGTGGCCATCTTTGCTGGCCACCTTGACATAGACAACACACATTCCACCAACAAATTCCATCATAATTCCCAACATCTCTACTGAAGGTCCCCCTGACTCTTTCTGCTCTTCAGCTTCTCCTGTCTCCCTAGGTAACTGAAGTCAGGATCAAGGTTACCTTTTACAGTCACTGACACTCCCATGGCAGCTTCACACAAGAAACTCTTCTGCTCCCACTTGCCTTCATCCACATTGTACATCTCCACTGTCGACAGGGCATTCTGATGAACTCCCACTCCCCCAATCACCAATATCTGTTTGCCCAGGGCAGCTACAGCTACGCCCGCTCTTGCTGTGGGCATGGGCGGCAGGCTGGTCCATTGGTTGGCCTCTGGGTAGTAAACCTCACAGTTGCTCACGGGGCTTCCGTCTTCATCGCAGCCTCCGATGACATAGAGCTGGTCCCCACTCTCCACAGGAGTGCAGTACACCCGGCCAACAGGCAAGGATGCCAGGGACTGCCAGTGGAACGACTTGGCACTGGGCACAGCCATGGCATTTGACTGTGCGCGCTAGCAGGATTACACCTCCTCTTTCTGACATACGGCTCTACGAAATGTCAAACTTTGAAGACCATTTCCACTTCCAGATTTCTTGCATCAACTGGGCACAAGTTCTCTGTCAATATGAAAGAAAGGCAAGACTGAGAAAAAAGATGGTAAAATGAAGATGGCACTGCTGGAATATGTAGAAACAAATAAAGCTATAAAACAATACCCTCCAATTTTCCTCACCAGCCCCGACTCACTCTGGAGCACTGTTCTGGGGGAAAACGCCATCCCAGAACATTACCAAGGTCCCCACTCTCCAAATGGGAGACAGTGAATGGCAGCTAGCTATTCAATTGTGTGGGGCATCACTGCTAAGCCTATCTTCACAATTGTGATGAAATGTTTCTGATTGATATATACATTAATATCATTTCAATATTAATATCATATCAGTTATAACTAGGTCAGACAGTCTTTCCATGACAGTAACAGTGAGAAATGACCTGAGTGTTCATGGAAGATTGTTTTTACTAGTTTAAGATAGTGGGATATTGAAGGCTATTAGCAACTTTCCCTCTAATTTTCAGTGAGCAGGCCTCCGAGGTCTTCAAGCAACATCAACTTCAGAAATTGGAAGTCAATACATCCACACACTATCATGTGTGGATTTGCTTCATGATAATTAAAGTTTGATTTGGTTCAGAAAACCCAGCAAATAGAAGTTTTTGGACAGTCTGGAGGACACCTGACTGAGGTCAGAAGCAAATATAATTTCTCTCCCAGAAAAGGAGTACAGAACAGTTCAGGGTAAGCACGGTTACTAGGAGAGTTTGGTTAGAAATCTACAGGTTATTAAAAGCTAAGAAAATCTAAGCTCTCAGTTTTGTGAGTATTGATATATGAAGGCTTTACAGTTCACAGGAAATAATTGGGAGGATCAGCTTCATCGAATTTAAAGACTTTATACAGAGGGGTAATTCCTCTGGATTTGAATCGTAAGATGTGGGGGAAATTGATGAGACTTTGTTTTCGTGTATGTTTTACAATCTTTCACACTGTGTTCTATATCAAGGTAGTTTTTGTTTTGGTTTTCAGCCTTTATGTAATAAACTTCTGTTCTATTATTAAAGTGTGCAGTTTTGTGTGATTATGTTTCAGTAAATGACTACCATGTTGACTGAAATCAAAATAAAATGATCTATCAAACCAGATTTTATTCTGGGATCTGCCTTGCTCATTACTACCATCATCTGGGTTCATAACACATGGGACAAATAGATATAAACACACAGTTCATAGCCTGGGTCAAAAATGGCCACGTGGAGCAGGAATTTGGAAAAAAAAAGTCAGTGTTAGGACAACTGCAGGTCTGGTAGCATCAACATGACAAGGCTGCAGGTACATGGGAACACCACCACCTGCAAACTCCCCTTCAAATCACTCACCATCCTGACTTGGAAATATATTGTCATTCTTTCACTGTTGCTGGGTCAAAATCCTGAAATTCTCTCCCTTAAAGGGCTATGAGTGTCCTGACTCCCCAAGGACTGCAGCATTTCAAGAAGGCAGCTCAGCACCATCAGATTCTCAAGGGCAATTTTGAAATGGGCTATAAATACTGGCCCAGTCAGCGACACCCACATCCCACAAATAAATTTTAAAATAGCAAAGAAACAGGGTTAACATTGAGTCCAATAGGACTTTTCTTCACATGCCTTGGCTTCTGAAGCGGAAGCATATCCGTTTCACTGTCTACAAATGCTGCCAGACATGCTGAGTTAGTCCAGCACTTTGTTTTTATTTCAGATTTCCAGCATCTGCAGTATTTTGCTATTACTACAGGAGTAGGAATTTGGTTAGATTTCAGGTAACTGAGTGCAGATAGGGCTAGAGTCTGTTGCCTCCCTGACCTTAGGGCTGACCTACACACTAGACAGACCCACAGAGTCACCAGGGTGAGCTCTACTGTGAAACTGTGTGCCAACAATGTTGAATGGGTAAAACATTTACATCCCTTTCCTGTACTGTTGCTCGCATCTGGTTTAAATTATCTCCATGATAAAGGAATGTATTTTCTTCTAAGTATTTTCTGCATAAATCCTTTTGCCTGAAGCTAATGTTGGAAGAGGCTTGAGGAACTCAAGGAATATGAATGACTCATGTTAAAATAGTATCGAACCAAGTGCAGACTACACTCGGAGTACTGTGCACTGTTCTGGCCTCCAGATTGAAAAAAAGGACAGAGCAACAAGAGATCCTGAGGGTCTTAACTGGGTGGCTGTGGAAAGGATGTTTCCTCTTGTGGGAGAATCTAGAACTGGTAGTGATAGTTTAAAATTAAGGGGGAACCCATTTAAGAGAGAGAGATGAGGAAATATATTTTTCTTGCAGACGGTTGAGAATCTTTGGAATTCCCTTTCTCAGAAAGCAGGTGATGCAGAACAAATAAACAAAAAAAAAATTTAAGGCAGTGGTAGATTGCCGAGGAGATGAAAGATTATCGGGCATTCACAGGAATATAGAGTTGAGGTTAAAATCAGATAAGCCATGATCTTAGTGAATGGGAGAGCAGAATTGAAGGGCCGAGTGGCCTACTCTTGTTCATATGTATGTAGAAGGGGTGTAAAGGATTCATGAAAGAAGAGACGATTGAAGGGCAATCTGGGAAAAATCTTTCAGATTATGAAAGGATTTGATAGGCTAGACACAAAGATGATGTGTCCACTTGCAGGAGATAAAGAGGGGCCAACAATATGCCAGTCACTAATAAATTCAATAGGGAATTCAGGAGAAACATCTTTACCGAGCAAGTTGTTAGAATGGAGAACTTGTTACAACAAAGATTAGTTGATGTGAATACTAAAGAAGGCATTTAGGAGGAAGATAGAATCCCCACAGTGCAGAAAGAGGTCTTTCGGCCCATTGAGTCTGTACCAACCCTCCAAAGACCATCCCTGCCAGATGCCCTGCCCTATCCCTGTAAATCTGCATTTACTATGGTTAATCCACCTAGCCTGCACATCTTTGGACACTACAGACAATTTCGCATTGCCAATCTACCTAATCTGCCCAACTTTGGACAGTGGGAGTAAACTGGAGCACCCAAAGGAAACCTATGCAGACACAGGGAGAACGTGCAAACTCCACACAGTCGCCCGAGGGTGGAATTGAACCCAGGTCTGTGGCGCTGTGAGGCAACAGTGCTAACCACTGAGCCACAGTGCTGCCCTTAAGGGTAAATAAACAAATGAAGGGGAATGCAATAGAAGGACATGCTGATAGTGTGAAATGTAGAGGGGTGGGAGGAAGATTGTGTGCAGCTTTAGCAGTAGCATGGATTAAATGGGTTGAATGGCCTGTTTCTGTGTTGTAGATTGAATGTAATTTGATGAAAACCCATTCCCGTTTTAAAAAGTTTCAAGAAAGAGCAAAGGATTTGTATTTAGATAACACCTTTGAAGACCTCCTAATGTCTCAAAGAACTCAACAAGTACCTTTGAAGCATATTCGCTGTTGTAATACAGGAAATGTGGCAGTCAATTTATTCAGAGCAAGTGCCCACATACAGCAATGTGATAAGTAGCAGAACACTTATAGAATCACAGAGTTATACAGCACGGAAACAGGCTCTTTGGTCCAACTCGTCTATTTCGACCAGATATCCTAAACTAATCTAGTCCCATTTGCCAGCATTTGGCCCATATCCCTCTAAACACTTCCTATTCAACTACCATCCAGATGACTTTTAAAATGTTGTAATTGTACCAGCCCCCTTCACTTCCTCTGGCAGCTCATTCCATACATGCAGCACCCACTGTGTGAAAAAGTTGCCCCTTAGATCCCATTTAAATCTTTCCCCTCTCACCTTAAACCTATGCCTTCTAGTTTGGGTTCCCTTACCCTGGGGAAAAGGCCTTGACTATTCACTCTGTCCATATCCCTCATGATTTTATATACCTCTATAAGGTCACTCCTCAGCTTCCAACACCCCAGGGAAAATAGCCCCAGCCTATTCAGCCTCTTTCTGTAGCTCAAACCCTCCAACCCCAGCAACATCCTTATAAATCTTTCCTGAACAGTTTCAAGTTTAACAACATCTTTCCTACAGCAGGGAGACCAGAATCAAACATAGTATTCCAAAAGTGGCCTAACCAATATCCTGTACCTACTACAGAAGGAGCAAAACTTGACCTATTCTTGGGAAATAAGGCAGTGCAAGTGATGAGATATCAGTGGGGGAGCACTTTTGGGCAAGTGATCACAATTCTATTAGTTTTAAAATAGTTATGAAAAAGATAGACCTGATATAAAAGTTAGAGCTCTAAATTGGAGGAAGGCCAATTTTGATGGTATTAGGCCAGAAATTTCAAATGTTGATGGGGGGGGAGGGGTGGATAGACACAGATAACAGGACGGCTGGAAAGCAGGAAGCCTTCAAAAATGAGATAATGACAGTACTGATGCTGGGAGTGGGATAATTATTAGCCAGGACTTCAAGGACAGCTCTCCTGCCTTTCTGGCAAAATGGCTGGGGGTCTTTTGCACCCACTGAGCAAGCAGGAAATTTATCATCCCATTCTAAAACATTGCTTGAAGTTACAGTTTAGTTTCTGTCCCACGATATATTAGGTCTTAACACTCAGCATGGAGGCATTCAGTTGTCATAATTAATCACACCCACTCTGACTGTGAAACAGCCAATGGAAAACACCGTTACACTAATGCGTGCAATTAAATCTCTTCAGCTAAAGTGATTCGTGCTGTGAGAAATAATTTGCCTTTATAACGGGAAGAATATTTTGTCCAAAATGGTTTTCAATCCAAAGGTCCTAAATCCATTAACTCTCAGGAAATGCTGTACAAGACAAAATCTATGCATCATTGCTTGATGTTCAATGTCATTACTATTACCGAATCTCCCACTATCAACATCCTGAGTGTTACCATTGACCAGAAATTGAACTGTACTAGCCATATAAATAATGTGACAGATCAGAGACTAGGAACGCTGCAGCATATAACTCACCTCCCCAAAGCCTATCTATGATCTACAATGCATAAGTCATAGAGTCTTACAGCACAGAAACAGACTCTTCGGTCTAACTTCTCCACACCGATCAGG